AATTTTCAGGTTTTTTCACGCATTCTTCTGAGCGCGAAAACTCACTGAATTTGGAGTACTTTTTTAGCTGGCCCAGGCATGGCTGAGTGGCAAAAATGGAAAATGTGCTGAATCGGCGCGACAATTATTTCGCAGTCTAAATTATTTTTTGTAAATGTTCTATTATTATTTCTGGAAAGAACACGACCTCATCTATGGATTCTCAAAATTTCAGATTTTTGTGCATGTTCGTCTGAGCACAGAAAATCGTCAAAATTGCCTCTTCCAAAACGCCTGTTTCGTTGTGCCTGACCTCCCTGTTTTGAGAAGACGGGGCTCAACGCCTGGGCCTGAGGGCGCGTTTGCAGATCACATGCCCTCACTTCTTTTGGGGTCCGCTTCTACCCGAGGACCGGTCTAATGCCCCCACTTCGTTTTGGGGTCCACTTCCACCCGACGACCGGTCCTTCGTTTTTCCAAAAGTCCCGGTTCTACCAGAGCTAGCTGTAGGTAGTCCGCAATTTTGCCAAGGACCGGTCCCCCAAATTCTTTTGCCCCCGAAAAACCCACTTGCGTCCTTGTCGCCCGCCGCCAAAAATGCAGCACGTTGACACAGACGCCGAAGCCCACTATACCGCAGTCTAAGGGCTGCGAACAAAGGGCAGAAATTTTCTTTTACCAATTCCCAAAAGGCCAAAGAGAATTTGGGACGGCCAAAAGACAATTTGCCACCACCTCTCGAGGTCGTATCAAAATGCCTATCCCCGCGGCCCCCCAGGCCGCTGACAAATGCTACCCCGTTTGCAATTTTGGTGGTAGGAAAACCCTAGTGTGACTCTCGCAGCATAGCAGATTTTGCGATTTAGCAAAAGAACTCGCTAGTGTGAGTATGCCCTTATGTGCGCTTTCTGCTTCGTCCGGTGCCACCAACTGCCGGCGTCAGGACGAGCGCAAGAGCACTCGGCAAGCAAACGCCTTGTGGCAGTCCACTCGGTACACAGGGTATGGGCCTCGCCACACGGCGCACGAGACGGAAACTTTCACGAGTTCGTTTCGAGTTCACACCGAATCTCAATAGTGAAAAATGGTGGTTTCGCGTGCTCCGTGCGGCGATGCAGCAGAAAACGAAACAAAAAAGAACTTGCCGCCTCGCGAACCCTCGCGAATTTGTTTTTCGTTTCGTTTCGTTTCGTTTTCGCTGCCGTGTGGCGAGGCCCTATACCATGTTAGGCTCATCATCTCGTCCTGGTGTCAAATCCTAACGTAAGTCTCACTAGTCTTCGTCGCCCGGTAATCGTTTGCTAATCTCATCAGGCGACACGCCGAGATTGCCATTCTGGACGTCGGTGACGGTTAGGCGGGATCAGGTGCGCGCACAGAGAGAATGTGCAAGCAGAGTTCGTTTCTGCCACAACAAAAGTAGTCTACATGATCGTGCGAGATCGTGCTAATACACACGCACCGCTGGATATGGTGTGCCGCGCTACTGTAGTTGCCGGAGCCCCATGGGAGGGATCGCAGCTGTTGGCGTCCCGGCGTTCATCCGTCCATCAGAGGTGTGAAGTCATGGTCACCGGCGATGACTGTGAGAGGAAGTTGACGTAGTGGCGGCAACACCCTTTTAACTCTTTTCACATCTCGCCAGCTGCGCTCTCCCTGCGCTCTCCCCGCTCATTCTCTTATTTTGTATCGTGCCAGGTCCCCCGCCGTCGCCCTTCGCCGCTACGGTAGCTTGCCGCTTTTTTTATTTCTCTGGCGACTTCATGGCGGGAAGAGTGCGCGCGACTGATCCCGCATGGTGGTGAACTAGCGCGGGCGGGGAGAGGCGGCCTACGCTGGGTTGACAGTAATGCCTAGGCCGGCTGGAAGAGTGCGCGCGCCTGATCCCGCATGGTGGTGAACTAACGCGGGAGGAGAGGCGAGCTACGTTGGGGTGACTGTGACGCCTTGACCGAGGGCATTGGGGACTGGTCATACGCAACGCGTCTCTGAATGTGCGAACGCCCGGTCGATGTCCAGGTGATAATACCGATGAGATGAGAGCAATGAGGTCGTGGTAGCGAGGCTGAGCTCTGTGGTCCGGGAGCCACGTCGTATTTTGATTGGTCGATCGATTGATCAATACGGAGACGTTAAGTGCCTCCCTCCCTCTCCACGAGTCTCTGAGGAAGGGGTGGGAGAAGAAGAAGGGAGGGGGGGGTGTTTTAAGCAGCTGTCAGTTTGCAGGAGGGGTTGACGGCAGGCAGTCGAAGGGAGAAGAGGGGCGTCGTTTGATGATCAAAAGTCGGCCCCCCTCAATGAGTGAGAACAGATCGGCTACCGTGACTTTCAAGGAGAGAAATGGCGCATTAACGAAGCTGTACTGGGGTGCACGACAAGTCCCGGGCAGCACGGGGCGTTAGGGGGGAGCGGAGCGGGAATCTCATCGGCAGCAAAAGTGGAGCGGGAATCTCATCGCCAGCAAATTCGCAGTCAGGTAACGCGGAACTTCGAGGAGTGAGTGGAGCGTGCGCGCGGAACGCGCGACCGCTGATCAACGAGTCAACGTGAGAGCACGAGCGGGTCAGCAGCGCTGCTGCTGTATAATAGATGATTAAGCGTGAGGGGATAAGCACCACGAGGCGACCGGGAGCCATCGCCCGATGGGTTGCGTAGGGTCGAAGGAGAAAGGCGAGCCGGGTACGTTGCTGGGTACAACTGTACTTGTCTGCGAGTTCGTTATGCGCCCTGATACTGCGTCTTCTTTTTTTTCTTATGATTTTTTGTTTTCATTTTTGTTCATGTTTCCTCATAGTGCGTCGTTGATCCACAGATAATGTCTATCTCAGCCCCGGATGGTGGATGCGGTACTTCCAACCTCTCGCTTTCTCTCTCTCTCTCTCTCTTTCTCGTGTTTTGGCCGCGCGCTGTCGTTTCCAATGCTATAACGCTGCGAGTGCTGTAAGCTGCGTCTTTCAGGTTTTGTTTCTATCTCTGGCTCTCTGTTACTCTGTCTCTCTGTGTGCCTAGTTGCACTACCCGCCACCTGCCAAGATTTCGAATGATCTGGACACGATCGCTGTCCATATGCATTCTAAATGTTGGCGGATGGCGAGTGGTGCAACGACGCCCTGTATCTTTTTTGCAGGCTGGTATTCTGTGTATCTTCCCATGTTCTAGCGGAAGATCTATTCTATGTTTGGTCATTTGGCGAGTAGTGGAGCGAGGCCCATAGATTCGTAGTTTAGCGTCTCTCTGTGTTGGCGATCGCAACGGGCAATGTAATGATATGCAACAGGTGATTGTGTTTTTTTAATTTATTTTTCCTCTGAGACGGCTACGGTTAGCTCTCGTCTTTGAATGGACCGCCCCCAGGTTACTTTGTTCGTCTGACAGGATTCGAAATGAGGTCTGTTTATCAATAGTTACACCGGTGTATCACCATCCAGCAGCAAGGGTTTTGGGTTAGGTGGGATGAATCTGCCTCGCACGGCTCAGAAATAATACTAGTTACCGTAAGTAGCAGAGGAAGTCTTTGACAGTTTGACTTCGAAAGTTTTTCCGCTTTCTCTGTCTCTTTGGTCATCCCGCAGAAGTCAGGCCCCTGGCGATTTGCTTTTTTTAGCTTTTCCATTGTTTTTTTTTTTTTTTTTTTTTGGTTGGGTCGTCCTTGCGCAGTGGCCATGCTAATCTTCTTCTCTGTAACGTTTCAGTTTTAACAACTGTTTTGGTGTGCTCGCGCTACCCCATCTCTTCCTAAATCGCGATGGATTTGAAATGCCGCCACCGCCGCCGCGACTGCTGCTGCCGCTGCCGTTGCCGCTGATGATGATCATGATGATTGGGTTATGCTGCTGCTGATGATGATGATTGGGTGATGGTTGTGACGAGATTACCCCTTCGGGCATTTACCTTTGACGTTCCTGGCCGCACTTTCGGCGTTTTTTGAACCGGAATCGTCAGGGCTAACCGGGTTCCCGCCAGTAGGACCTGACGATTTTGGTTTAGAAACGGCCGAAATTCCGGTCAGGAGCGTGTAAGTTACATGCCCAAAGGATTAAGTGTGATGACCAGGCTGCTGTTGTTGACGACGATAATGGGCCTCGCTCCACTACTCTCAAAAAATGAATCCTTCGCTAGAATATGGAAACCTGCACGGCCATTTCTTTTTGGCTTTTGTGCATGTGGGGAGAAGTGGAGCCCGAGGCCGAATGCTAATGATGAGGGTGGTATGAGGGCATACGTGCACTGTCACTTTCCTCAATGTATCGGACCACAATGTCGGCCGGACCTGAATGAATCTGATCGCGATTACGTCGGGAGCTTCGTAGAAAAAGTCCTACTGTGAGTATGCACCGATTTTGATGAAATAAAATTGACGGGGAACCTTCGAAACAATTATATGCTCTCAAGTTCTCAACGAGTCGCAGCGAGGCGGTTATGATTTTCGAGGATCCCGATTACGATGCCTTGAATGTCTGGAGCCGCAGTCGGTATCGCAGCAGATAGGGCAGTAGTCGCGACAAACGGATGTCAATGGTTGCTCCCAGTCTCAAAATACCCGCTACCCAACGACGACCTTTCACGGCTGCCGAAGTCGTCAAGCGGCGGGGCGGCCTTTTTTTTTCCCTTTCTCTGGGACGGGCCGCTTTCGGTTTTGAGAGGAGCTTCGCGTTCGTTGGATGTAATAACCAAATCCAAATCCGAAGGCCACAGAAATTTCTCGCTCTCTTCAGAGGTTGGCCGAATTTTTATTTATTAGTTGTTTTTTCGACGAGGTAGCAGGGCATGTGCCAAAATTGTGGGGGTCCCGCGACCTATATGATTCTTTTTTTGTAGTAAATAGAATTGACGTGCTTATAGAATTATCACTCAAAAGAAATCGGTAGGCCTTTTATACATTTCTGATATTCCGAAGTTGTAGGAGGCGCTACCTCACTTCAATAACTTTTCCCCATGTATTTTATTCCACGCATCCATATATGATTGTAAATCTTCCAGACTAACCATTCTTTTCTATTTCAGGTAACAACGATTAAAAAACAGCTATAGGTTCCTGGATTATTTCCTTATGTCCAACCGGTATTCTTTTTATCAAAATTTGTGAACTTATTTGTTTGCTTTTTACTTCATTTGTTAAAGGGATTGCCATCAGAGTAGGAGCATCATGACATCTTTCGATGTCTCTCTTAAAAGCATTGGTTGGAGCAAGTTTTTCTTTCCCTTTTCCTGTTCTGTGTGGGCGAAGGGGATGAATAATTTGGCGGCGGCGTTGATGTCTCAGGACCTAATGCGGCAATGGTGTTGTTAGCAAGGAAAAACCCACGCTGGGAAGCATCGTGGGCGGGTAGATACGGTGTGCGTGTGTGTGAAGGGGGGAGGGGGAGAGAGAGAGAGAGAGAGAGTACCCAGGCGCCCTCGATCAACTGATTGCTGATCGCTGATCGGGGGTGGATGGATAATGGATCGCAGGTGAGTGGGTAGTTTATCGCGGGTACTTTTGAGAGAAGAATTAAGGGAGGGAGGAAAAGAGAGGAAGAGAGGAAAAGAGAGGAAGAGAGGAAATGAGAGGAAGAGAGGAAAAAGAGAGCAAGAGAGGAACAAGCTAATCTAGCCTAGTTTGTTATTTTTTTGGGGTCTCGCTTTATATAGTTTATTGCGATGATGTGATGGAGATTGGTTTCCCGCACATTATTTTATATATGTGTTATATGTATCTATAATTTATCTATACCCGAACGAACGGTGGAGGATCATACAGGGCGATGGCGGGGAGAGCTCTGTGAGGATAGGGACCTTTTTTTTTGTTCCTTTTTTTCCTTTCCTTGTTTAACCCTTCTTTTTTTCACCGGTGCGCGAAGTTCCCCGGTCATTATTTTGGCGGTCTTTCTTTTCTTTTCTCTTTTGTTATGGTGGTCATTGTTCGACTGGAGCGCGGGAGTCGTTGGTGGTAATACTCAGTAATGCTTGCTTGGGGCAGGCCATTGTCTCTGTGTGTGCAGTTGATGAATCCTCTCCAACCCCCCCCCCCCCCCCCCCCTTCTTTCCCCCCCCCCCYCCCCCTCTCTTCTTTTTTCCACCTCCTCCTCCTACTACTCCTCCGTCGTCTTTTTCCACCTCGTTATCTCCCCCCCCCCCCGCCCCCCTCCCCCTCCTTCACTGTCGTTGATGCAATCTTGAGCGCGCTAGTTTTTTAATTTTATTTTTCAATTAATAAAATTTGCATTTTGCAGGAGCATGGAGATAAACTGCGAACGCTGTTAACAGTGCTCATGCATCTTTTTCCTCTCCTTTACTTTACACTGCTTGCACGCTGTTTTTTTCCTTTTAGATCTCGCATTCGGATCTGTCATCCAGCAACCTGTCGTCTTCGCTGTCTACCGCATTGCATGCTCATGACATTTCTATGTCGATGACATCGGTGGCCTGATTCCAGGTGTGTGTGCTATATATCTTCCCCTCTGCCTGCGGTGTACCGGGCAGCTTTGATTGACGATCTATATTATTAACAAATAAATGGAATTAAATTGAATTTGTAAATAAAAAAAGTAACTTGGCCAATCAAATCAAATCAACTCAAATCCTACGCTCCAAGAACTTCGATTATGTCCCGTGTTCCAATTACGATAAATTCGTCAGGGAAAGAATATAGCGCAGGGAGGAAGAGGGAAAGTAGTGGGCCAATTAAATATGCCCCATGGTCTAGGTGATGATATATCGAGTGTAAATAAATTAGATTAGGGATTGTGCAAGGAAAATAAGCAATAGCGAGATGACAAATTCCAGATTACACCGTCACGTTGAAAGCTAGATAGTCGCACTGTGTCCAGAGAGCAGCATTGCACCAATAATACACCAATGTTGCACCAATAATACACCAATGGAGGTTCGTAGTACTGAAAACCAATGTCAAGGAGAGCTTTCTGTCTCCGCCACAACACAAGAGTCCAGACCCTTCACACTCCTACTTGGCGCTCAGCGCCCAGCCTACTCCTACACAGCTACGATCAGCCTACTAATAGACAATGCAACTGTTGGCATCAGCGACAACCCGAAGTACTTGAAGATGTCGCCCACATGCAGACCATCGCCAATACAAGGTATGTGCCCTCACATCATCATCACCTTACACCCGAAGACCACTCATGCGCCTCACTGTAGTCCAAGCCCACCAGCTATGGTGGCTGGGCTATGGCCCTGCTTCCCTGCACGACCGCACGTGCTGCTCCTCGCCTCTCAGCGCCAGCAGCAGCCCACGAGCATTTGCTCCAGCAGCGCTGCCGCTAGCATGTGAGTGCCTGAATGAGGCTGCCTGGGGAGCTCTTTCCTTTATGGAAAGAGCTGGCCTGCTCGTGCAGCCTGGCTGTACTGGCCCCTGGGCCCAGAAGCTTCCGGAAGGCCCCAGGATGCTGCCTTTGCGCTGCAGCTACTGGGCCTCGTTCGGTTGGGCCTCCCAACTGTCAGTGTATGAGGCTGTGATTCACACCCAGGGCCTGCATTCTTTGGAAAGACCCGGTAGGCCGTGGAAATGTCTTGGTTGCTCGGCCTGTGTTTCTTTCAACCAACTGGCGCGTCGCAACCACCTGTACCCCAAATATGAAATTGACAGTCAAAGGCCTCTTGTAATATGTTAGGCCCGCCTTCACTTAGGGCGGGCACCACTGCAACCGGGGCCGCTTAGGTCTGCCGAGGACCCAGAT